ATACAAACACTATTAAATATGTAATTAAACTGAACAATATTTCAATCCATAGGTAAAGAAAATCAAAATGAGCCGCCGTGGTGGAAGCCCTGTGCCACTGATAGGGTACAAGTTACGGAAGGAGATGTGATAGGTACAACCGCTCACAAGACGAATGCTTCCCTAGTATAATGAGGGCTCAAATTGAGGCCAATGAAAGCTACTGTCAGTAGCCGAGAGTTCACTGGAGCATTATCCACTGTTGCTGACCTACACAAATCTCGAGCAATTGCCTCTAGGAGCATCAATGAAATGTTCAGAACCGTTGTTAATCTGTGAGAAATAATTACTTTTAAATTTGATCCTTTGCTTTAGTCACGCTGGAATCTGAATTTGCTTCTAGTTGGTGTGTTAGTGCAGTAAAAGGTAGTGGTGTGGTACTGAAGGTTGACCTACTGTAGAGGCCAAACAGCTGTGATTAACAACCTCCGCCCACCAACCTTCAAGTCACCGCTGACACACTTGTGTCACCCGTCGTGTTATCACTCCTAGTGTACTGCGCTTTGACTGACAAATGCAAACCCAAGTGTAACTTGTACCTTATAATTACCCTTTCAATTGGGGGCAACGCGCGCGCGCGCACACGCACACAATACACACTAGGAGGGTGCCTCAACCCACCCCTTGCCCTCCCTTCCCCCACCCCTTCCTCCTTTTCCCTTCCTCAACCTCTCCTTAGCTCCTCCTCTTTCATAAAATATAATACTGTATTACGAGAGTATCCGGCCGTGCCCGGGATATTCTCTCGTCCCACCCCACTTCACCCATTTCCCCCTAGATTCCCCCCCCCTCGTTCTCAACTCGGACCCCCCCCCCTGTCCTCCGCTCTCTTCCACCCCCACCCCCTATCCCTCTCCCCTTTCGGATTCCCCCTTCTCCGTCCTCCTCCTCCCCTAGTAACCTCCTCTACCTGTTGTTTTTTAGATTTAGCTACTCGGAACGAAATGTCCATGTAGCACGGGCTATGTTGAGCCCGTACCCCCTCTACCCTTTTCCTCATTAAATATATGGATCTCTTCCACCCTCCTACCCCTAACCCCCTCACCATCTTCGTCATCCCCCTTCGTCCTCTCCCCACCCCACCCCCGCTCCTATCCTACAATATAACTAATAGTATAATAAATTCATGTCACTATATCTCCATAATATTAAATGAAATTCACATACAATAATTCCCCCCTTTCGAATTTGTGCGTTGGCTTTCAATAACGATCATTGCAAGGAGTCTTCTAGACTTCGGCGCCCTCAGCTTTATCTTTTTCTTAATAGTACTTTACTAATTCATTACCGACTTTATTTGGACATGAAAATCAATCTTGTTTTTCCTATTTTGCTTAAGTTCTTATCGGTGAGGTCTGTTAGAACTATAATATATAGAATGATCAAGCTGCTCTTAGAAGCGATCTCCTGCTGCCTAGTCCGGTGTCAGTCTAGTAAAATTTACTTTGTCAACTTTTAAAGCTTCGCCAAAACACTAATTAGGCTATCTTACTTTATTGCATTGATTTGTATTGTTAATTCCAATGCCTAAGCACTGAGGACTACATATTCGCAATGCTTTTAGGAAGAGACCCGAAGCAACATCACTTTACGTTCTTGGCACGACTGCTGAATTAATGGAATAGCTACCTGCATGCGTATCTTTCCTGTACACGGTGAAGCTCAGTGAGGTGTTACTATTACCAAGACGTCTAGGAAGGATAATTTATCATCTGACTCCCATTCATGTTTAAATCTGATACTGGGGATTATAGCACTCAGCCTCTCAAAGAACTCCCCAGAAATGTCCCCAGCTATCCTTCCAAATGTAAATATGTCGTAACGTATTTATACCAATTCATGTCTTAAGGTTTGATCTGAGGGAGGACGCTTATCTCGAAGTACAGACATGCATCTCTATAAACTCTATACCAGTTATTTAGGTTATATAACACTGGCGATGGTGCGACTACCCATACTACAACAATATGTTTGACGGTCAAACTGAAAACCATATTTTTGACGGTCAAACTGTTTTGAAACTAAAATACATATTTTCGTTTTGAGACGAATGTGTTCTTAATACCCCCCCCCCCCACTCCGCGCCATCTGTCTCCCCCTAAATTCTCCTTCCCTCTCAAACATCTCCCCCCCCCCCCCCTCATCTTCCTTATCGGTTTCTTTCAATCTGTCTACCTCTAAGTTTTTGTTTGTCTTCCTGTCTTTCTCTGCCCTGGTCCACTCAAGTCTCTCTACAGGCCTATCTCTGCTTGTGTCTGTTTTTGTATCTGTTCTCATTCTGTCCCCCCCCCCCCCCCTCTCATTGTCTGACTCTCTGCTTGTGTGTCATTTTGCTCTCCCTCTCAAAACTACTTTAATAGTTTCCAATTGGTGTGTGAATGGCCTGCTGGAGGGAGGACCCTAGTAGTGAAACATTAAAAATATGATAGTTTCCCCTTGGTTTTGAGAAACCAGTAGGGTTTGAAAGTCTATGAAGCTGTGGTAGGATCGTTTGTGTTGTGGTACTATGGTAAAAGTATGATTAGAAAATGTGGTAATTTTCTCGAGATCAGTGCATCATTTTTTCAGACTGCTCTATGAACAAAAATTTTAATTTTAATTTTCAAATATTTAGCACTGCCAACAGTAGTAGTGGGAGGCAACCAACAGAAGTAGTGGGAGGCAACCAACAGAAGTAGTGGGAGGCAACCAACAGTAGTAGTGGGAGGCAATACGAGACCATGGCATGCTGTTCGCTCTGGCGACACAGACCAGTCTATGTCCGTCCAGTACCCCGACCATTTCCCCCTGTATAGTTGGGTGACACTAGCACCAAGCCTCCAACCTTGGACAAAAGATATACTTTCATAATTATAATCAGGGTAGCCGTTGTACCCAGGTCTTGCTCCCCCCAGGTCTTGCTCTCCCTTTTCTCCCCCCCTTCGCTTCATACCCTTCTACTTCCTCTCTCCATTTTCTCTTCAAATATCCTTCATGTTCGCCCTAAGTCCATCCAGCCTCTGCAGGCTTATGTCTGTGTCCGCCCGCCTGTCGTTGCTGGCTCTCTCAACAATATTATAGTAGTCTTATCATTCGCACGTGGGTGGTCCGTCGGTGGGAGCAGCTTAGCAGTGTGGACTATTAAATATAATAGGTACCCATTTGTTTTTAGAGAAAGGTTGTGCCCGAGAAAGCCTTAAACGCTGTGGGCGGCTCGTCTGTCGTATGCTGTGGTTGGTCTTCTGCAGCACACCCTGCCTTTATTTATGCTCGGTTGCTCTAAGTTACAGTCCAATGTTAAATTCATCTATTGTTCAATTTAATCATTCTTAATTTACCCAAGGTAAAAGTTTCCCCAATGTTAATTTAACTATTGTTAAATTAACCCACTGTTAAATTACCCATTGTTAAATTTATCAGATATTAAATTATCAAATCTTAAATTTACCCAATGTTAAACTTTCCAAAATTAAATTACATAAGGTTGAATTTACCCAGTTAAACTTCAATTTTATTTTATCAACATTTACAATTTTTTTATCAAGGTTACGTCTGGGATCTTGTGAAGTGTATCAGTCAGCTGTATAATATATCCAGTGAGTTGGGCAAGTCTGGGTTCCCTGCAGTGCTTCCTCACACACTTGCAAAAACGGACTGCTCTCTAGGAAATGATAGCCTAACACTGACAAGGTGGTACACTCCAGTTAAATCTTACTTTATTAATTAACCCCCCCCCCCAAGTAACATCAAAATGCTCTACCACATCCTACTTTACGACCAGTCCCTGACCCCACACAGGCAGGAGCAGAGATGTCCATAGCAAGCTAGGCCTACGTTCCCTGTAGGGACAGCATAATCTTTAAGCTATAACAATTTCATTACCTGCTGAAGTGCTTGGGTTCCAGCCTACAGGATCACCCATATTCCAGCAAGGTGTAGGGCCACCTACAGTAACTAACAACGGAATGATGGCTCAACTACTTAACATTAAAGATACTTAACTAGAGAAGACCAGACCAGCCGTGCCCCGCCGCCACGACACCTAGTAGCAGAAAGTGCCTTACGACGTTATGCGCCTTGGTGCCGGCTTGGTAAACCGATCGTACTGGAAACACTGATTACCCAAAATCTCCTACACGATCCACAATCGCCACCATTCAATCTTTAACATAAATATAACATCTTAGCATTATAATATACTAGGCAACATATTGCCTATCGTATCTAAACTAGCAAAGGAGAACAACAAACTCTTACGCCTGGCAGAGACTCATATACCCGCTATTCCCATTCAAGCTGGTAAACTGTCTACATATATGATGACATGATGACTTCTAATGACCAAACCATACATCAGAAAGCGAAGAGACGACGACGTTTCGGTCCCTCCTGGACCATTATCCCGATAGATTGGTCTTTACAATAAACTTTCCTGCCTCTACTCTTCACAGACGTCGTTATGGTGAACATGCCCAACATGAACCTCTAATACTCAACATGATCCTCTAATACACAGCATATCCAACATAAACCTGATACCCAACATGATCCTCTGATACACAACATATCCAACATGAACCTCTGATACCCAACATACTATCAGGGGGTCAGGGATTTTATAAACTTGATACTGAACTTTACTTACTAGCGAACATAAACCCCCTACCACTTCCCTGATAAAATAAAATCAACCCTGCAGCTACACAGCTGCTGTCGTCAATCAGTCAGTAATGGACACAAGAGTGTATACTGGAGGATCACCCTGGAATCGTAGTCAGAGAAGGGTTCAACATCACCTTTACTTGGGGAAAAAATCTAGCCTATTGGTCATGAATACACACGCCGTGACTTCCCCACACTCTCTTGTTTTTGGCCGATCTCCTAATTCTCCTTTGTGATATTACTGTCCACTGCCAACTGATCTGCAAACGTTTCTCTCATCCTAGAAAGCCTCACCAGGAAAAAGAGAAAAAATCAGTTGTCTACAGACAAACATTTATTATATGACAATACAAAGAATGAAATAATAAAACAACATAGTATCATCGGATTCTACAAACAATAACAACATTTATATAATAGCAGTTCTTCACCAAATAAACTGTGCTAGGCTGCTGCTCAATTTTTCACCCTCAGCCTTCTCACTGCTTGTGGCTGGGTAACTTGCATATAACAATATCCTCAACAAGAAAAATAATCACTCACCTTACATTGCGTCACTCACGCCATATGCAATCAAGTACTCCCTCATATATATCATGGTATCCATACAATTCCCTGTTCTGCGTCTTAAGACCCGCCACTAAGAACATGTCTATGGGTCCTTGAAATCAGGTAGGTATTCCTGCAGTCTCTTCAATATTTGCTACTACTTGAAGTTCCACTCAACGCCTGTGAAGTTCTTCTATGCGGCTTAACAAAAAAAAAAATGTAGCTGCACTACACTCGAAGTTCTACACTACCACTTTAGTTCTGCTTTACCACTGAAGTTCTACTTCACACTTGAAGTTCAACTCCACACCTGAAGTTCCATCATGTAATCTTCACCAGACACGAAGCTCCTCCACGAACTTCTCCCCACACAAACCTGTAATTCCATTACCCTGCCATAATAACATGTTTTCCTAATAAAACAAACAACAAATATATATGTTACATTAAATCTGGCCATCCGAAGTTTCACTCCGCGCCGGTCTTACCGAGATGGGTACTCCCCCATGCTGGACGAGTCCACACTGAAATCATCCTCGAGGGGCATCAGGTGTCCCTCCCACCTCAGTCGCTCACTGACCTCAGGCAAGCAAGCATGTGTGGCTCTTGCCTCCAGCATGTTATATCACCTTTAATTCATTATATACTGTCACCATCTTCATAAAATTTCTAACCAATATCCATTGACATTGTCAATGGTCGCCGAGCACACGATCGAGCAAGCAATTATAAGCATAGAAACGTCGTAATCGACTCTCGCAACTCTAGTGACGTGTTACGACCTCCGCCCACGTCACAGCACATGACAAAAAGTCGACATCTCATCCCCACTCGCTTCTATGATACTCGTCCTCTGCTCGTTTCTATTTAGTCATAATTCACTGACGTTTACTTAATTTACTTCCCCTGATTCCTAAATTCAGTCAGGTGTGTATACTAACTCTCAAAAGGTAGATCCTACTCACTAGGCTACCTGGAGTTTCTTAACAATACCCAACATGAACCTCTGATACACAACATACCCAACATGAACCTTAGGCCTGGCTCTGTTGCTGTTGACTCTTCCCTTTCACAGTACCTACTTAAATGCTCTAACCTTCTTAACAAACGTGATTGACTTAAGCTTTGTCCCTGTTACTTATTCCTACCACTGTTTCTTATTTTTACCTTTCCTCTTATTCTTACCTTACTGTTTTTCTTCCCTTATCCTTACATTCATCCTATGCTTTACTGTTTTATATTCATCCAATTTTTACTTTTACATTCATTCTATTCTTATCTTATTCTTACATTCATCATTTTCTTGATGAAAACGATGAATGTCTTTTCTCTTGATGAAAAGATAAAACTTTCTCTTACCTGCTCCTCACCTCACCCTCTTACCATATTTTTGCCTGTACCATCCTCTACTTTACGGGCTATTCATGCCCGTGCCATCTCTTGGGTGGCTTAATCTTCATCAATCATCTCGTCTCATCACTATCGATTTGATATTGGTCCAGGACGGACCGAGACATCGTCGTCTCTTAATTTCTAGTGTGTGGTTTGATCAACTTGTTCCTAAATGCTAATCTTTATCTGAAACTTTTCCTTGATAGGTGTAATAGAACCCATGAGCACCACACCAGAAATAAATATATCTTTGATGTTCGCAGAGTCGAGGTAAATCTGCAAACACACCATGCAAATAAAAGAGCCTAGTCATTGGAACTCACTCCCTGATGAATTAAAAAATTGTCCAACTTTTGGTCTGTTCAAAAGTAAAACCAAAAAGTACCTAATTTCTTCCTCATAGTTTTATACCTTGTGCTTCAAACTCACACTGCATCTTGTACTACTAACTTATCCAAAATTGGTACTTAAGAATAATTAAGTACCAATGCAATCACCTGTCAATATATATTGTTGATATAAAACCTTGCTACAATGCAGTTTTTCACCGTACCTGATATGTTAGATTAAGGACCGGCCCGAAACACTATGCGTGTTAGTGGCAGTACAACAATGTAACAACTCTTGTATATATAAACAAAATAAAATAAAATTTAACTTGGTGAAAATCATAATATTTGATATTTTTGAATGAGTGATTTAGTTCGAACTTTAATTAAAATGCACATTAGGAAGAGGCTATGTTTAGAGAGCGCAAGCAAGGATGGAGCGTGAGGAAAAATGGACGGTTAAGGCGAGGTAGATGCTGTTACAGTGAGGTAGAGACAGGTAGAGGGTGTTACAGTGAGGTAGAGACAGGTAGATGCTGTTACAGTGAGGTAGAGGCTGTTACAGTGAGGTAGAGACAGGTAGATGCTGTTACAGTGAGGTAGAGACAGGTAGAGGCTGTTACAGTGAGGTAGAGGCCTGTTACAGTGAGGTAGAGGCTGTTCAGTGAGGTAGAGGTGCTCCAGTGAGGTAGAGACAGGTAGAGGCTGTTACAGTGAGGTAATCACCTGTCTGCGTGCGAGGCTTGTCAGGCGGGACGGTGTCGCTCCAGTAAGGTATTCCTACTGCAGCTAGTGATAACATCACCATAGTGCAGCTCGTGATAACATCACCATAGTGCAGCTAGTGATAACATCACCATAGTGCAGCTCGTGATAACGTCACCATAGTGCAGCTCGTGATAACATCACCATAGTGCAGCTCGTGATAACGTCACCATAGTGCAGCTCGTGATAACATCACCATAGTGCAGCTAGTGATAACATCACCATCGTGCAGCTAGTGATAACATCACCATAGTGCAGCTAGTGATAACATCACCATAGTGCAGCTAGTGATAACATCACCATAGTGCAGCTAGTGATAACATCACCATAGTGCAGCTAGTGATAACATCACCATAGTGCAGCTAGTGATAACATCACCATAGTGCAGCTAGTGATAACATCACCATAGTGCAGCTAGTGATAACATCACCATAGTGCAGCTAGTGATAACATCACCATAGTGCAGCTAGTGATAACATCACCATAGTGCAGCTAGTGATAACATCACCATAGTGCAGCTAGTGATAACATCACCATAGTGCAGCTAGTGATAACATCACCATAGTGCAGCTCGTGATAACATCACCATAGTGCAGCTCGTGATAACATCACCATAGTGCAGCTCGTGATAACATCACCATAGTGCAGCTAGTGATAACATCACCATCGTGCAGCTAGTGATAACATCACCATAGTGCAGCTAGTGATAACATCACCATCGTGCAGCTAGTGATAACATCACCATGTCGGTTTCTAAATTGCAACATGACATAGTTGTTGCTTCTCTTGACAAAAGAAAATCTGCATTAAAATTGCGCATAAAGTGTCTTTGTTTCATGGGTACCAAAACATGTTAGTTTCTCGGTACGCAAAGCTGGTACGGAGATCATAACCTTGACAAGGACACCTCTAGCTTGATCTACATCCCTCACATATAATTACTTCCGTTGTCATATGAACGGCAACGTTTAATAAAGTCGGATATGCCACAATACTTAAAACATACAAAAATAATTCCTATGTAATCAGAAGATGAAAGATATATATATAATCAAAAGGGTAGAAAGTGAAAGAAGTTGGAAGGTATAGGGAGAGGAAGCGCGGTGCAGTAACCAACCTCGGGAGAGGGTATAAAGCCATCCTTGGCCACCGTACTGGCAGTTGCCACCATGACACGGTGGAGGACGGACGCAGGTGTGGTGAGGGCACTTGTGGTGTGTGGTGCACTCCTGGGGACCCGTGCCGCTATCTTCTCCACCAATGGTGTCCAGGTGAGTGTTTGTGCTGGCTGGTGTAGGGGCCTCCATGACCTCTCGCCGGACTTCTCAACAATGGCAAGGACGCGATCTCTTGCAGCGTCCCGAATGTTTTATCTGGCGAATCCTAACGGATATTTTATATATGTATAAAATGTTGTAAGAATAATCACAAAAAACACTTTATGCGTAATGCGTAAGTAACCACTAAGAAAATGAAACCTGAACGTTCGGAATTTTCGTTTCATTTTCCTAGTGGATACTTACGCATATAATTGTATATAGCCATGTAAATTTAGCAGTAGTGAATTACAGCACAAACGGCTATCGTTACCGTTAAACAAACGGAATGTGTTTGCTTCTAGTAAACAAACCTAGACTTGTTAAGCAATGCTGTTAAAAAACTATTAATACAAAATTGAAAGTAGCATGAGTGAAAGCATGATAAGGACTTGGGGCCCCAGTGGTCCACCTTCCTTGTGTGTAAGGGCAGGAGGAGTCTTGGTAATATATCTCATAACTCACACAGCTACCATCCGTAGTCTGGTTCAAAGGGGCTTATGTCCTTACAAACGGATTATAACCGTTCAACGACTCATACTTAAACAGCTCATTTACTTTTGTACTTTTCTTTCCTCGTTAAATTTTGTAATTCAATGGGCAGTGTTGGGCGCGGGGGTCCGAGGAAACACCCCGTGTGACCAGGTCCACGAGCCCAACAAGATATAATAGGTATATATTCCAGCCCGTCCTCCTAAGGTTTCCCCAACGTCAAGAAAGAAGGCGCCCTTATCCTAACCTACCAGAGGACCCAAAACAGAAAACTGGACAGTATATCAATTTCGCGAACCGCCATGATCTTCTAGTACAACGATTTTTGGCCTTAGAGTGTGTATACGTCAAAATGCGACGCTGTGTTAGACGGACGGGTTGACGATTTTATGCTAAGTTTACATAAAGGTTTCGGATTTTAAATACACCTTATGGACAATGTTATCTTGGTAATGACGTGAGGATTTGTTGTGAAGCGAGTGTCGACTCTTACAAGGATATGTCAGCAACAAAGTATATTATCTTAACTAAGTTCAAACATTATATATTTAGGCCAAAGTTTGGCACATTTCTGAAATGAATGTCAGTCCAGAACTGAAGAAATTCAAAATATGTTCGGGAGAGAGTTTGTAGTTTGAGATCTATAGGTAGAAGTTCTGTCACCTTCTAATACGTAGTGCAGGAGTGGCTGTAAGGTCGGCCACAGAGTGCAGGAGTGGCTGTAAGGTCGGCCACAGAGTGCAGGAGTGGCTGTAAGGTCGGCCACAGAGTGCAGGAGTGGCTGTAAGGTCGGCCACAGAGTGCAGGAGTGGCTGTAAGGTCGGCCACAGAGTGCAGGAGTGTCTGTAAGGTCGGCCACAGAGTGCAGGAGTGTCTGTAAGGTCGGCCACAGAGTGCAGGAGTGTCTGTAAGGTAGGCCACAGAGTGCAGGAGTGTCTGTAAGGTAGGCCACAGAGTGCAGGAGTGTCTGTAAGGTAGGCCACAGAGTGCAGGAGTGTCTGTAAGGTAGGCCACAGAGTGCAGGAGTGTATGCAAGGTCGGCCACAGATTGCAGGAGTGACTAAGGTCGGCCACAGAGTGCAGGAGTGTATGCAAGGTCGGAGCGTGCGGGAGGGGCGAGTATTCTCAGGTGTAACATACCCAAGCCTCGCCCGTTTCCGCGTGTGACTGGTAGTGGTTGTACTTGTTATTGGGGCTGGTAAAGTTATCATGTTGGGTATTGCTAAACGCTCTTCAAGGAGCGGAACTGAAATGGTTAGGCACGTTTCCTTTCACCTAATGCACTATTCACTCAGCAGTAAATAGAGAGAGGTGAGGAGATGGATATCTCAGAGAAAGATTAGAGCACAGGAAAAGGTGAGGTGTAATCATAGGAATAAGAAAGGGATTGTAAGAGAAAACAAGAAAAAGAAAGATAGAAGGAAGGGTAGGCTTGTTAAGTCACGTTTGTTAGACAGGTTGGAACATTTGAGTATGTACTGTGAAAGGGAAGAGTCAACAGCAACAAAGCCAGGACTAAGGTTCATGTTAGGTAGGTTGTGTATCAGAGATGATTCGACAAGACAATGTGGAGGTCAGCCCGTTGTTTAACCTGACACTGACTGTGTGCAGATATTATTTCTGTAAAACCTACATGCTGCTGCAGTCCGTCCTGTAGAGGATTGGACTGAGCCGTCGGTGTAAACACAGTGCTCGTGAGATCTTATATTTTCAATGGAGGAGGCAATTGTTTCAAGTGTGGCAGCTTTGAGAAGAGCAACATTCTCATTATCTTTCTTGGTGTCGGGTGTGTATTATTCTTGAATGGTGGGGCACAGATAAAGAGGAAAATCGGAGACAGATTGTACTTAAAAGGAATGTTGAGTTTGATGAGATTGGAGGGATTTTTTCAATAGGGTGATTTTTTCAATTTCCAGTCAATAGGGTGTTAACAGCACTGAATAATTTGTCTTTGAGCAATGCAGAAGATGTTGGGTCTCTCATGACTTTAAGGCAAAAGGTTGTGTTGACTTACATGATTCTTTCTAGTATGGTTAGAAGCTTCAGTTCTTCTCTGATGATTCTTGTGCATCTTGGGGCACCAAGAATTATCCTCATGGCCTCATTCTGTACTACTTTAAGTTTGTCCAACACAGAGGCGGGGAAGTTAATTAGGTGCAAGGCATGATAATCAACTAGAGATCTAACAAACATATAAAATAATCTAGCATATTTAATATTGATACTGACGACTTTGTTCGAACCACAACACTGTAAATGCTTCACACCATACTACAAATAATCGACAACAGAACCTAAACACCAAACCGAACCAGTGCCTAAATATGCACAGTACACTAATATATAAACAATGTTAATTTATAATTGAGAAAATTTTTATTTTAAATGAACTGCTTGATAAAATTGATGAATGCGTCTTTGGGTCGACCGCTGGATGGAATGAACTTTGTCTGAGGACGGGTTGCCAAAGCCTGATAACAAGACTTGGCAACCACCATAACTTGTTTAGATAGTATGTTATAAACGATGTGGACCATCGTATATTTTGAAGTAATGGACAATTATAAAGTTGAATTTAGTACTACTGAATTCGGACAAGCCGGAAAAGGTTTTGTATTTGTTGATAATAAAACCTAACCTAATAATAAAAATAATAAAAACAAAATAAAAAAATAATAATAAAAACCTAGGCCTAATATACGATGAGGCTCTAATATAGTACATAAATGTGCTATACTAGGACTTAGTGTTTAAGTTTGGTTCTTAGCTTTATTTTTTCGGGCTTTGTACAAAATTCTACAATTTGTCCATTACGTCAATGTATGTACGATGGTCCACAGTTACAAAAAGTAGTATTTAAACAGGAGGATGGGTTGCCTAGTTCTGAGTCCATTATAATTACATTAGAGCCATACAAACTTACCTACTTATCCATTCGAGGCCAGCTACAAGCACCTCCTCACGTATCAGTTCTACAAACTGCATCAGAGCTTTGTACACCCATCCTCACCTCCAGGCCAGGCCATATAACTGCATTCAGGGACAGAGACAACTCACAGCGCTGTAAAAAGTAGTAAGGAGGTTCCGCCGAGCAGCGCGTCAAGGTCACTCCCATTCCTTACGCAGGCACCGCGCTAGTGATCACAGGCTGGTGCTGGGTTGTTATGTTTTTAAATTCAGCCACTCGGAACAAAAGTTCCAAGTAGCACGGGCTATGGTGAGCCCGTAGTAGACTGTAACGTGGTGCTGGGTGGCGGAGTCTCTGGGGAACAACACGTCCTCCTAATAGAGCGTTGCATTTTGATGTATATGCTACCTAAGACCAAAAATTGTTCTAGAACATGGTAGCGACTCGGGAAATTGACATATTGTCCCGTTTTCTGTTTTGGTTTCTCTGGTAGGTTTGAATAAGGGCACTTTAATACGACAGTTTCTTGACGTTGGGAAATATTAGGAGGACGGGCTGTTGGAAAGCCAGGAGTGGATCCATGAGGGTGAGGAGGGGCCCTTGTATAATGTAAACATATTAGGCAAGGTGGGGCTAATATGAGGAGGGGGGGGAGGGCTTTGATGAGGGCGGGAAAGGGGGTCATTGTGTGCTGTGGTGAGGCGAGGCGAGGCCTCATTATGGGAAAGTTTCCCTTCATTACAGAATATAAATATAAAATATTCAGCCAATTCGTAAGTCTGAATTGAACCACAAATCGGGGAAGAAACAAATTGCAACAATAGGGATAATGCTAGCTTGCATTGTTAGTCATTTGTTTGATTATTGGTAATGCATATTTTCCTAAATACTAGTATGAATATTTCAAACAATTCATCTGGATTTTGTAACAGCCGTCGCAAGTGATGAAACACCTATTATAACAGAGAAGAGAAAGTTCATTTATAATGCCTCTCCAGACTCTTCCTGTGGGGGAATGTGTTCTCAAGTTAGGGTCCGTGAGTCTTTGGAGCCCACATCCCAACCCGTTCTCCCGCATCCCGTCCTCTTAAAAATAACGTCGCTTTTCGCTAGTATGCGCGCTATGGCCAAAAATGGATGTAATTTGAAATGAAATCGGCTCACGAAAGTGACGTACTGTCCAGTTTTCTGTTTGAACCTTGAATCGAATCGGTGTTATGAAGAGCAGCAAACGAAGCACGTATGTTCTTAAGGATATTTATTTGTTTTGCAGGCGATGAGTCACAATAACGTGGCTAAAGTATGTTGACCAGACCACACACTAGGTGAAGGGACGACGACGTTTCGGTACAAAACTTTATTTATTTTGTATAGTTTTATGAAGGGATGGAAGTATTTGTTTATTTTATATCTTCCAAAACGCAGCTTTTTGGTTTTTCTAAATGATTATAAAATTCCAGTTGCATTAATGCAAAGTCATAATACTTTATAATGAAACCCATACCCACCGTGCAAGCTGTAGTGGAAAAATTTGCAATTGCACAAACGTTCACGAACTAAACCCCAATATTTGTTCAGCTAAGTTAAAGCATTGATAAGCTATTTACACTCTTTTTATATAGCATGTACATGAACAGTCTATTCATAATTTTGGTTTAGCATTTTATCTTAACGCAAGGTTAGTGTTCCATAATGGGTTCAGAAACTGAAGTCAGTGTTTAATAGGCTAAGGTTTACATTTGAAGTCAAAACGGTTTTTTTTTTTATATAAATAATTCAGTGCGTGTACGTTTTCCATGAGACGTTGGGTGGTAATAGGCTGCACGGCTGTTGACTAGTCCAATGACAGTTATTTTTAACACAATAAAGAAATAAGTCTGTCAGATGATAGAAACATCTGTTAACCCTACGCAACACCCCGTTTTCAGGTTAACACTATATTTTCAGATGGAAATTCCACTTGAAAAAATACAAAGGAAAAATTAGGAAAAGCCAAGTTTTAATAAAGAATTAGTACTTGAGCTTAGAGGACTGAGTCACGAGAAAAGGCTAAAAGTGCTAGATCTCACCACGCTGGAAAAAAAACCATATGTGACAAGTACCATGTTCACTATTCTTAGAGGAATCGACAAAATGGACAAACGCGAAATGTTAAGCATGAACATGATTAGGACAAAATGCCATTGGTGGAAATTAGAAACTCAGATGAGTTATAAGAATATAAGAAAGAACTTCTTCAGCGTAAGAATAGTGAATAAGTGGAGAGCCGAAGGGAAAGGCAGTTAAAGCTAACTTTACACATTTCATATATTTATTATGCACCCTATACCCATCCTGTGGGCGGTGGTGAAAAGGGTTATTTATACATTAAAAGAGTAGCAAGAGGGTCAGTAGTCGTTGTAAATGGTTACCTGCAACTGGAAGACGGATCCCAGGAGCAGCAGCAGCAGCTTACTCTTTTAAGCACATACAGGCGAGTATAAAAATAACTGACTGATTTTTTATTGGTGCCGCCAAAGGCGGTTAGATTATTGTGCACCCCATACTCATCCTGTGAGCGGTAGCCCAAAAAGGATTATAGAGGGCACAAAAGATCTTTATCAGACCTCAACGGAGATTATTACATTAACAATTTCATATATCCTTAACATCTTGTAATTATAATGTCAGCTAGTTACAGGGAATGTTCTATTTCAATAGCTTTATATTTACAGTTAGGATCTACAATTAATGTATAATGGTTATCACTAATACATAATTGTTTGAGCTATGAAGATATTAGTCATAGGTGAGCTGCTGTTTGTCACTATTAGTCTTCACAATACACTACTTGCTTCTTACTCTCCTATGTCGTTTATCTACTGGGAGCGATACATATGGATACAGTGCAAGGATTTCAGGAATTTTATCCTTATCAATAAAATGGTTTGCCATTTCATACGACGTGCATTTAGATTTATCACTAAATGGCTCAATTTTACTACAGTCCAAGATATAATGCCCTATATAGATATCTAGAGCCCTATACAAGTCCAACTGCCAGAGATACCTGTAGCCAAGTCTTATTCGAGCTGTGACAACGTCTGTTTGCTGACTTTGTTACTTGCCCCATACACATGTTTTACTTGACACATTTCATTGTGATGAACAATGGACCTGCTAGTTCCAGTTTGCACAGTTCTACTTTCTTCAAATTCATCCAGGAGTTCTCATCTAATGACACTTTTCAAGGATCTATTTGATAACTAACTAAAGATTCCGTTCAACATTGTCTTTATTTACTGCAACCTTAGCAAGGACGTCAACTTTGTCATGTTCCTGCACAACCCGTTCTCGCACTTTCTTACAGTCAATATTGACTTATTAAATAAGTGCATATGTGACATACTAATTTATTGTGAATATTTTAGTTTACCTTGAGAAGCTTTATAGAAAACACCGACCTTACCTAACCTTCTTAGTATGTTAAGATAAGCATCTTATTGCTTCGTAATTACAATTATTACTTAACCTATACCTATAATAGGTTAAGTAATAATTGTAATTACGAAGCAAAAAGATGCTTATTTTAACATACTAAGAAGGTTAGGTAAGGTCGGTGTTTTCTATGAAACTTTTCAAGGTAAACTAAAATATTCACAATAAATTAGTATGTCACATATGCACGTATTTAATAAGTCAATATTGACTATATGAAAGTGCGAGAACGGGTTGTCCTGCAGGCGGGATGTGAGAAGGAATCCACAACTTTTTATATTTACCTCTTATTAAATATGCTTATATATCTATGTCTAGCTTCGGAGAAAAGCACGTTATTTATTGATTGCAAAATATTTATTGCTAGTAGCGAGGAAAGGGAGTAAGAAATAATTAATGTCTACTTCAGTGTTGTCAATAATTTCGAGTGCTACCAGTGTTGCTACCAACTCAGCTTGCATTGTGGATGCCCAGTTACTAATCCTTATATTTCTTTGAATTGTGCTGCCATCGGGCTGATGAGCAATAACAGCACTTCCTGTCCTCCCTGTAGCTGTACTGAGTGATCCGTCAGTGTATATGGTCTGTGCGATGTTGTTTTTAGTTTGTATATTGTGAATGTGTTCTAGGGTGCTTAGTTTAGCAGCAAGCTGAGCATGAGGGTTGTTTGTGATAAGTTTCTTGGTGGGGTATGCAGGCGTCAGGATGTCAAAAGGTACTATCTGCCAGGGTGGAAGGAAGTGCTGTACTCTTTCATTTTTACACACATCGTGCAGTCCCATCATTCTAATGAGTGGTTGTTCTTTGAATCCATTTAGACTCGCAAGTTCCATTACGTACGATTTCTAACAATTCAACTGACACATTTTTGTTTTAGTTTCAGTTACTCTGAACAGAATGTCCATGTAGCACGGGCTATAATGAGCCCCAAAACGTGACACAATGTTGCTTTTGGTATATAGGAATGATGTGATGTCCTGGCAGAGTGATGTAGGAACCTTGGTGTTTTAGCGGTGTGGGGAGGGTGAGGTGGCGAGGCCGACACTCTGGAGGACACGCTACGGTTCCCGCACTACCTGGCCCCACGCTCCTTGTACCCAGCGTTGACAGTGCTCGCGCGCCACCGAACCCGCTACTGATTTACTGCAAACTCACCAAGCTGTGAGATTGTGATCACTTCTCAAGTCTCTTGTTCTTAGCCTTGGACAGTTGTACTCGGCGATTGCAGAAAAATACAAAGAGCAACGATGATTTTCAGAGAAATATGTGGTGATGATAACAGTTGTGGCCTGTGAAGAATGCCAAGGTCCCGTCCACCCCGACCCTTCCACCCGCCAGAATTATTGCACTAAAACAAAAATTGTAATCATGATATATATGTGCTTCAGCCTACAGTTTAGACCTATTGTCTTATGTATGACCCTCTGTCCTGCGTGACAGTGAATACCAGCATTATCCTCACTTTAATATGACTATCAAAATCCTCAGATTAGGCAAAATTGTAATTAATTTTGTCAATAAAGATGTTAATAATAATAATAATACTAAAACAAAACTGATCTCCGTTCATTAACGTCAGTTGAATGCTATTAAGAGAACAATGTCAAAATATAGTGACACAGGTAAATTAGGTTCGTGCCTCCGGTGTCTAAAGCTATCTTCATAAGCTATGGTCGAAAGTCTTATAAATTCGTATTTTGAAACGAATTTCTAGTCTTTTTGCAGACTGCACTTTGCTATTGTCCTGTTCCCAATCATCACATCAATATAAAATAACGATGAATTATTAAGAAGCATTTTTCCTCGGGCAAAGCTGGCCACATGACGTTGATGTAAACAATGAATAAAT